TATCAAAAGTTTTCGCAATTTGAAGCAAAAATCGTAATTTTTCTTTTTGAATGCTTAAGTTTTCCAATATGCTTCTAATTAAACATGGAACACTTTCAAAATAATGCTTAATAACAAAGTTGAAATTCGATTTTCAACTGCTAATATCTTCTAGAAATTATTTCTATTTTATTAACTATTACTTAATTATTTTTATTGGAAAAAAAATTTCTAAATTTTTCTCGTACCTTCCAAGTGAGCCTCTATTACCCCTTAAGAGGAATGACGCCAACTTTGAATCACCCTGTAGAGCCCTTAAAATCTAAAATTTTGCCGTAAATAACTTGCATGAATGGCGCATTCGAAGTGTCATAGCGCCGTTTCTGAGTTAACGGCAAAATCCTTAAATAATGCAACTCCTTCTGAGAATTTTTGGATATTTTGTAGCTTGGCAATTCAGACAACTGTGTCATCAAATGTCATAGCCGATTTTGATTGACAAGCGCCTACTTGATGTTTTGAATTAATGCCAGCCAAATAATATTAAACATTAAAAATAAATCGCATCTATTTCAACCGACAACGAATCGTAAGCGAAAGTCACAAGAAACCGAAAATTTGGAAAAAATCACCAAAAAAAACATAGTCGCGCTTAGAAGACATTCATTATATATCTGCAATTGGTTCTTCAAACATTTCCAATCAAAGATGGTCGGAAAAGTGAAATTTTCTAAATAATCAGCAGAGTGCAAGTGAAACCATATTAGTTAAAACAATTTCACGCGTTTGGGCATTGATTGCCTGATGAAATAACCATAAGGGGAAAGTGATAAGAGAAAGCAGAAAAAGCGGCATTTTCTGTTGAAACAAAAAATGAATCATACAGTTCAATTGTACACGTTTGTACCACTGCCGTCCAATGTAGCCGTCTATTTTTACCGCTATTTTTATAGATCCCGGCGTCAAGCAATTTTCGCAAACGATCAATATATATTCTTCTGAGATGGCAAACAATTGGCAAGATTTGGGCCTCGGGTGTCACATAAATGCAGCCTAATTATCCTGGATGGAAACCAATTGAAGTGGGTTCGTTGGGTCCAAGAGTCCAGGAAATTTTTACTTGAAAACAATGATTCAACTGTGCGAAATCGTCGTTGCGAAGCTGAGGACAACTGAAATGTTTAACGTAGCCGAAGAGGTTTGCAACGGGGAAGCTGCCGCTACCTGCTTGAAAAGTCCGCGCATAGTGGAGGTGTATTCCATGTAGAATCACGTGTTACTGTCCAGACTAGTACAGTACAGCAGCATGATGTTGTATGGATTACATAAAAATTCTGGACTTACTTCTTGGATTTTCATCTTGGTTTTGATGACCTTGCGGCGGACCTCCGTCTCGTAGGTCTCCTCCACCGTCTCCACCAGGCTCTCCTCTCCATTCTCGGACATTTTTGCCGTTCGGGATGGCCACACGCGTTTTATTTGGACACTAACTCCGTCACTGGTTATTTCGATCTGAACGCAGCGCTCACTTGCCAAAGACTGCCGAGCATGATTCTATATTTAATCTTCTTTTGCCGCCGCAACGACGAACGGAAGTTTGTTGTAGTCTAGAAACTTTATTGTTTTGTTTTTTCTCTGTTCTTACTTCGATTCATTTGAATCCGTTGCTAATTTTATATGGGCTGTTAACGAACAAAGGCTTTCTAATGTCCAATCAACATCTTGCCACCTGGGAGTCAATTGGGCGCATTTTCTCCGTAAACAGGCTGCAAATCGCTAAAGAAGTATTTATTGATTCAAATGATCACAAGATTTTTAAAAAAAGTACCATACAGAAATACTCATTTGGTTTCTGTCTCTGATCACTTAGGCACACTGGCGGCAGTCTACTATAAAATCATATCACAAGTTGAAAGCAAACTTCTAAAACCCTTATTGAAACGTTTTTTAAATAACTTTCTACGTTTTTCTAAAACGAACTACACTACACTAAGTGAAGGAATAGGCTGGAAGCTCCATTTGCCAAACGACAATTAAGAGAATTTTTGGTTGAGCCGGCAATAAAATGAAAAATCAGAAACAGAAACAATGTATTTGTATATTACATGAAGAAATCCTAATCAATAAAATCAATTTGTAAGACCATGGAATAAATAAGAACAAAAAGTGCTAGATTACCTACTGCTCGTTAATGTAGAAACTAGTAAAAATGCAGATTTGGGCCTTTTCTCACTACTCTTTACTTTCTATTACAACATTAGGAACTTTACCTCTTTAAATACGGACCTGGAAATAGTAATTGAAAACCTTAAAACTGCCGGGCAATGAAATATCAGACAAAATGTATCGGAAATACAGTGAAGTAGCACATCTCCTATCACCGCAAAATCATTCATATATAAGTTGAACATTAACTGTTAATTAACATGCACTTTGAGGATTTGCAAAACTACTAGACGAAGTTCTGAACTTCAAACTAAACGATGGCCAAAATCATATACGGTATATAGAAATGTTCGTTTATTCAAAAAATCAGACTTTAACTGCAATTTTCCCTTAGTAACTGAGCCCGAAACAATTGAAAAATAACGTTCAAAAAGCGCCAGTTACCGGGACTAGAAACTCAGTTTTCTAATTTAAACTTGAAAAACACCAGCGTAATCATTTGCGCACTAAATCAGCAGTCTAGTTAATATGGAAATACCAAATAAATCATTGCTATAAAGTTACAATGCAACTCAGTAAGTGGTATTAATATTAAATATGAATTGGGTTTCAAACGTATGTGAAACAATATTGTTTTAGGCGAATCTTTTAAGCTCTTACTTTATGTTACTGTTAGTCCAGCATGATGCAAAAGCGCAGAAAAAATGTATGTCCGTTACTGTATCTCAATATGGATGCCTTTCCAACAACACAACTTAAATTTAATTAAACAAGGGCGAAAAGCTAACTCTTATTATTCATTCAATACAATAAAGAATTTACTCTCATAACATTCGCTGGCCTTTCAGTGCATCTTAAAGCAACTTTAGTAAATATTTAATGGCATCTTACTAAAATCGTCTTATGAAAGTCCTCCGTATGGTATATATATAGTAGTTAACATCCTTATTAAAAAATTCGACAAATTGTTGCCTAAACAGTAAAAACCATCCAAAAATAGTCGATATATATATTGTGGCAATAAAATTTCAGTATCTAAGATCACGTGGTGAATTTAAGCGCTTACGGACGCCAGGACAGCTTTTATTTGTTCAGGTTTGAACACTCCACGTTCGGTAATAATGCCGGCAATCAGAGAAGCGGGAGTTACATCAAACGCAGGATTCCAACACGGGATTCCTAAATAAAGAGAAAAAACCCATTAAAAAACTATTGGCAACATGAATCTGCCTGGTTAAGGCAGTCGATTGAAACCCTGCGGGATTTCTGGTTATTTTAGTTATTCGTCTAATGTTAGAATTTGGTAGTACCGTTTTAAGCTGGTTAGTTACAAGATGAATGGATTGCTAACCTTTCGCTGCTATTCTATGCTCTCCAACGTGGGTCATTTCCCGATCGGGCCGTTCTTCAATTACAATGTGCTCCCCTGTCGATACTTTCGCATCGATGGACGTAAATGGTGCGGCTACATAAAATGGCACTGCGTGATATTTGGCTACAACGGCAATTTGGTAGGTTCCAATTTTGTTGGCTGTGTCACCGTTTGCAGCTACCTGAAGAACAAAAATGTGAAATTAACCCTAGCATTCCTCAAGCAGGTAACACTGTGATAAACGAGCGTGTGAAATGTAGCGGCAAACCTACCCTGTCAGCTCCAACGACCACAGCGGAAATATTCCGACTTTTCATTAAAGCAGACACCATACTATCACAAATAAGGGTGGATGGAATTTTGTCATGAATCAACTCGAAGGCGGTAAGCCTAGCGCCTTGATTGTAAGGCCTAGTTTCAGTGCAATAAACGTGCTCTACAAAAATCAAAACAACAAGTCAACAAAGCGCTTAATGGTGCCAAAATTAACGTGAAACAAGCTACAAGTGGTGGGTTTCTTGGAAAACCTCACTAGTTTCAATAGGACAAAACAGAAAGGTTTGAGACATTACCTAGTCTTTTCATCGCATGCAAACTACGGATTACTCCCAAGGCTGTGCCATAACCGGCGGTAGCAAGAGATCCTGTATTACAGTGGGTGACCACCCTCACTTGACTATCTCCTGATACTCGCGACAGGATTTCTTTCGCCCCGTTATCGCCGATGGATTGATTATCAGTTATGTCTTTTTCAAGCAGATGTTGAATTTTCAATAGGAACCTGCAAAAAAATTCGTTGAATGTTACTTCAATGTTAGTCAATAATCAATACCTCATTGTCTCGTTCATTGTAGCGCTTAGTGAATGGGAAACAAAAAAAATGTCACAGAAACACTCGAATATATCGGACGAAGCAACTGGCGATTTAGGCTACTTCCACTCGGACTGGCTGGGATTAGACTGAACTAAATGACCCATGTTGAGTCAGGTAAACCCTAATCCGTAAGGCATCAATAAATCAAACAAACAATTTATATTATCTTTAGGGCAGTTGTTTACGCTCTTCAGGGCAAATTGTCTCTTTTGTTTGGACATAGCCATAAATAGTTAATTATCTAGTTAATGATCTCTAATCGCATATAAATTGCTTGCTGATTACTATGGTGCATCCTCTACAAATATTAAAGCCCACGAAACTAGTTGAAATCCAATCAATTATGAATTACTCTATTTACTAATCTCGCAAACAGTTGCACGTGATTTATTAAAGAAAAATAAGTTATTTTGGTTGGCGTATTAAAACTGAACAGTTCCTAGTTAATCTTTAGGAATACATTTCTGATAAAAAGGTTCAAGTCATGACCTCAAATGAAAACTTAAATAAATAACTATGTCATAGTATCTTGATGAAGCAGTATGCAGACCCAAAACGTGCTTTAAATTATCACCAGAAATCCTACTTAACAATTAATTGTTTAAATTTAATGCCTCAAAGAGGCAATAAAATGTTGCGATTTCATTGATTACGTGCATCATACAAGATTTTTTGGGCTTTGCCCTAAAACATGTTGAAAGATATTCAACGCGAATTGGAGATGTTTCAACATTTGACCTAAATGTCTCAATAACTTGATGAAAATGAAGGAGCGAAAGGTATTCTAGCCAATTAATTAGTTGCATGCCCTCTTGCATTATGGACCGAAACCGATTTGGAATCACGTTTACTTTTCTAAGAACTTTTCTAGTAATTTGGCCAATTCCATTACATCTCTTCGTCTTTTGGATACTTACTTGTGTATCATATCTTCCAAACTAACTGATTTGTCTTTACTCAATTGGTTCGCCAAGTCAATCAGCTCTTCGGCGGCCCCTTTCATGTTAACAGCCGTTGGCCGCGATGAGACCAGATAGTTCAATTTGCCCTCAACTTCCTGACGAAGTTGTTTTTTCGATTCGAATTTGTCGTTTCGCATCTCCACCGCTAAGCTGAGGCAACCGACTATAGCTATAGCTGGCGCCCCTCGGACCTGTATTTAATTTAATGTTTAATGTAGCTAAAAGGGGTTGGGTTCTGCTAGAAACTGCTCATTGAACGCATCACTTGGTAGCTCAATCGCTCAATCAATCAATTGAGTTATTCACTATTTTTTATCCTAAAATCGCACAAACATGTTTGTTATTGAAAACTTTTTATTTTTTCTTCTGATTCGGGTAGATAAGAACAAATGATAAATTAATCTGGAATGAGGCAAAAAATAAACCAAGTGCCTGATAAAAAGATTCTACTTTATGGGCCTGTTTGCGTGGCTCGCAGCAAAAATTTGAATGGAATCTTGGAATATCGGAATGATCCAATAATCCCAACCAGTTATGGCTACTTGCCTAATTGAATTTAGTAAAGGTGCAAGCCTTAGCAAGCTAAATAAAGTCAACAATTGGCAGCACATGAGAAAAACGTGTTAATTAATCTACTTGAGAGCTCTTACCGTTACTTATGTGCGAGTTTGTATACTGAGCAAGATCAATAAAAGATTTTATGGTGCAGAGGATTATGTTTAGGACATGCAGGATTAGTAACGGAATTCTGAAAAGAATATTGAAACAAACAAATACTTTGGGACTTAGGCAACGTGCTGGCGACAGTATAAAGTTTAATCTAAATCCAACTTAAAAATAGTGCAAATATTCCTCTTTGTCCAAATTGAGTCGGGAAACTTGCTTGCAATAGTTGTAGCAATTTTGATTTCCACTACTAATCTCAAATAACCCAAACTGAGTCTAATGGTAAATAAGCTCTTAGCTTTTCAGCACATCCTGTTATCGACTATGCTAATATGGCTAGATGAGACATTCGGGCCTTTTTAGCAAACATTCCAGTCCATTGATAATTGTTTAACGGAAAGCAATATTTGAGTGAGGTTTAAGAGGATTAAACGCGACCACGACTGCTGGTAAATGAGGAGATTTAAGCAAGCAAATGTATTTTAACTAGAAGTGAGCGATCAAAAATGTTAAATGAGCAGTTATTATGTAAATACCAGTGACATGAGGTCCACGGTGCTCAGTAGCAAACTTACCTGCATTTTGTTGATGACCTTCCATCCATCTTCGACTCCCTTAACTTTCACATACTTGGTAATGCCTGGCAGGAGCAGTTGGTCCAGGATTTCCAAGTTATTGGTCACTTGGTCATAGATTATGGACTTGAGAGACATGTTTGACTAACGCTGCTACTTCGATCAAATGTAGAGGTTTTCGAACAGAAGTCGACTTAAATATCGGCACCGTATCACAGTGACATTATCATATTACCAAAAACCACTGCCGGTTTAGAGACAAACAAGTTCTTTATCGGAGTTATCTGTTAATTCAACAACCACCGGCGAGCGAATATTGAAGCTGAAGAAGAAATGTGGATGAGGTTTCAAGTAAGTCAAAGTCAAAATGACATTTTATTTGCTCAATGTCTACAGTGGACCATCGGGTTTTTAACAACCTGTGAAGATTGTCAAAGTTTTCTGCATTATTTAATTGGTTTATTTCTTTTGAAATTAGTGCTGCCCGGTTTTTCGGCATTTTTCAATATTTGTTTGTGCAAAATTGTTCTTTTACCTGATAAAGTAGTTGCAAAATCCTATTACCACGGTCAGCTGAAGCACTACTAACTGCCATTGAAAAGATCTAGGTTATGTCGCATTGACTACTACAGAAGTTTAAATTTTCAATTTAATAATTGCAGTATTCCCAAATAGTGGGCAATGTTGAAAGAGCCAGCACCAGTTAAGTGGCTTTTATAGCGCGACTCACCAAAGTGGCGTTATGTAATGTGTAATTGCGAACATTTCTATAAATATATGGTAAAGTTACAAAAATAGCCCTCAAGATTAATTAAGAAAAAAATGGTAATTAAACAACAGCTCATCCTGCATAATTGGGGCATTTCGAGTGGTGCTATTTTAGGCTTTGTTGGGCGCTCAGCTTGTAATTACTTTAGTGATGATCAGCATCATCCAAAAGATTGGACCTCATTTCTCTTTTGCCAAGTGGCTGATTTGTTCCACCGGCCTTGTCCGCTATCTGTATCCTACGAATGAGGAGCTCAGGCAACTGGCCAACATCCCCAAAGACAAATCAAAGAACAAAAGGAACCCCAAGGGGATGGCGAATGGAAAAGACACTCCTGAAAAGTTCCACATAGATCGCTCATTGGATGTAACGTTGGAGACTGCTAAAGTCACATATTTGGATGTGGTACATCTGAGGTACTATAGCGAATACCAATGGTTAGTGGACTTTTCTGTATATGCATCTATTGTGTATATCATTACAGAGGTAATTCATTGTTCTATACCTACCCTATTCATCACTCAGCCCTAAGTACAAAACATTTTCACTTGACTATTTGCTAACGTTTGTTTTTCATTTTTTCCAACTAGGTTTATAATATGTGGTTCCCTATTAAAGACGAGGTGAATTTGAGCATAATTTGGTGCTTCCTCGTCGTCCTATTTGCTGTGTATCCTTTTATCTTCCTAGTACAGGTGGAAACTTGCATGGGAAATAACAGCAGAATGCTAGGAAGACTGCAACAACTGCAGCACACTTTCATTCGAAAGCAATCGTAAATCCAACATACAACGATATTTCTTAACTGCTGCTCAGAAAACTGTTGATCAGTTTAACAGTCCAGTACTTCCGAGGTGAAGAATCGGTGGGTGAGCGGTCAACATGTATAGTGATGGCATTTATATACTTGCTGGTGGCAATGATGGTTCTGATAATCGACGAAAATACCCTGGAATTGGGCCTGGAGAGCGCTTACAGCACGTTCAACACGAGCGCCTCAGCTTTTCTAAATCGCCAAGGATTGAGTTCTTCGTAATTGCCGTAAAACACCCGAAATAGCCGTGATTTATTGCTCTGATACGTTTTTAGAGGACCTGCATCGAAGATCGTCATAAAATTCTTCATAGCTATATGGTGTTCTATTCTCGGAGCGATTGTAACGTTTCCAGGCATGCGAATTGCCAGAATGCACTGGGATCTCTTAAGGTACTGTCTCATGTCTGTTTAGCCAGAATCTTTAAATTGTTGCGTGTATTTTAAAGATATTTTAGGGAAAATAGAGTCAAGCAGCTGCTTTTAAATATTGCATTCGCCCTGCCATTCCTGCTGGTTATTCTTTGGGTCAAACCTATCACAAAAGACTACCTGACGGTCCGAATTTTTGCAGGCAGAACTGAGCCAATGTAAGTACGAGTCCGTATCGAGTAATGAGAAATTATGTTAAACCGCATTTTTCAGAATGACTGAGCAAAGTTTTGAAATAGCGAGACTTTTGGCAATTTTTTCCACAATTGCTGTGAAACTATACCTCATGCCCTGGTACCTTCAGGCCTACCTAGATATGGCCTATCATCGCACTCAGGAACAGAAAAAGGAAGCCGGGAGAATTACGAACATCGACTTCCAAAAGAAGGTAGGCTTTTCCTTGACTCTCTTAATAAAAAATGCTAATCGACTTTCAATTTCTTATAGGTGGCCGCTGTTTTTTACTACTTGTGCGTGGTGGCTCTTCAGTACTTGGCGCCTTTGATACTGTGTCTGTTCTTCAGCTTCATCTACAAAACTCTTGGTGAATACCAATGGAGTTGGTTATTAAGTAGCTCAAATGCAGAGTGCTCGATTGAGGACGAACCAGTAATTCCGCTGCCTGCAAAAGTAGGAGCAGAGGTGGAACCAGTTGAGGAGCTGTTTTTGACTTTGGAGAGTTTAAAGTCTGTAAGTAATGAGGCGTCGTTGTTGTTTCTGCATTTGCCGAAAACTGTGGGCGTGGCAAACAGTCAAAGAACAATAATTAAGGACTTACCTACTATGACTTGGATTATATGTAAATATTTTGTTTTAGGTGTTTGCGGCCAATGTCTTTCGAGGAGTTTTTGGATTCGCAACTTGGTGGAGTTGTTTCATTTATTTTGCCACCACATCTGTGGGTCTAATTTATCAATCGTATTTTACGGTGATTTAAGTGGTCACGCCAAACACTGTTTCATTCGCCAGCTGGTTACTTGTTCTCATTTTGAGTTATGGATGAAAAATCTACCAGGAATTGTAATCGAGAATTTTCAAGTTTCATGACTAAGGGTAATTATTCTTATAATTAGGAAATTGTTTTACTACAGATAAACAATGCATTGTATCACCGTATCCTTGTGTTGCTTACTGGAAATGTGTGAGTCGTGAATCGCACAATCGGAGAGTGATTTTGAAACATTTTGCAATATTTTTGCCTCTATGAAAATGCCCGTCTTGAAGTTGAACATACGCAAAATAGTTTAAGCAATTTCATATCAGGCTTCCTGAGTGAGTTTACGTAAAAATTGTCATCTCATTTGTAGCAATTAAAAGTAATTTTCTAGGAGGATCAAAAGTATTTGATTCAAAGTCGAAAGTCTTAAGTACCTTACGTTTTCCAAACGAATAATTTAAAACCGCCGAAACGTAGCAATAACGATGATAATGGATTATTTGTATTATCTTATATGCGTATACGTGTGCTAAATTTGATAATCCCTCGTGTTCCTTCTGTTTTTTGTTGTATTTGTATGATGTTGAGTTCATTTTGAATGCGTTAACTGTTCTTGATGTAGTGTGTTTGTTTGTAAATTATATCCTAGAAAACTGCGAGAAATTTGTTTAATTTCGCACTTTGTCTATCTGTTGTCCTGATTATCTTTGTTCTTCTGAGCTTGCCTTATTTTGTCTGTGAAGCATTATTTGAGACATTGACTCAGATGAGACATCGACTCAGACAAATGATTGATCGTTGAAAAAGATTATCTTGTTATCGTATTTATTATATTTTTTTATGTCTAGATAAGAAAATAATTGCGATTATCAATACGTATATATTGTACATTACAATTACTTATAGAGAATATATCTTCAAAGCGCCAGCAACGTTACAGCTTTTCCTCCAATCCAAGTCTCACCTTGGTGGCTGATTTTCCTTAAATAAATCCAACACGCACGTAAGTTGTTACATAATATTATCAAAAATAAATCTGAAATCAAAATGTCATATTTTTATACATGTAGGTACTTATGTATATAAATACAGTTGAGTCCGGATATAACAAACTTGAAAAATGAACTAAAACTGGTTTGTTATATAAGGAGTTCGCTATAAGCGAATAATAATACAAAAACACGTTTTGTATTCTATTTCGTTATTTTTACATAGAGTAGTAGAAGTGAGTAGGTATGACTAAAAAGAACACAATAAGATAAACGAAATTCAATTTGAAATCTACTTTATAAAGTCTGTAATTTTTGTTTGTACATTTCTGCTGCAAAAATAGATGTTATTTATGTAGTTTCCCGGATCACAAAAGGACTCCCAGATATGATTAGGAACTTGGCGTGATTGTAGAAAATTCCGAGTTTTGGACACTTTTTTTGTCATTTCAGAAATGGTTGGAACAGCATTAGTGTCTACAGTAGAATAAGTTTCACCTAAATCGTCACCGTTCTTATTATCGCTTAAAGCTGTAGATGAGGTTTGATGAGTTTATAATTTGATCATCGGTCAACATTTCTCTTGTAAGAATGCCATTATCAATGCTCTCAAACTCGAAGAAATTGAAATCACTCAACTTGGTTTTAACTTGTTCTTCGACAACATTGGGACATCTTCGTCTGTGTCATACTCGTAGTCAGAGTCTTTATCATTTTCTAACCATTCGTTAAGTGGAATTTCATCGTCCGGTTCATAATAATTTTCTTTTCTTACAAATCCCCCATGCTTAAAGCAATTTTTTTTCGGCTAACTTTTTGCCAAGCTCTATGAATGAAATTGACTGCATCTAAGAGATTTATAGAAAATGTTTCATTTTTATCGATCGCCTCTAAC